GTTTCATATTTATTTTGAAACATTGAATAAGATTCTGACTCATTAGTTTAGTGTTTTTATTATAATAAAAAAAAAAAAAATTTTTTTTTTGCTTCAATATTTTTTCTTAAATATTTGTTATAGCTACGAAAATTAAAGGAAATAATACTTAGTTACGAAAATGAAATATTTCAGCCCCCGCCTCTTATTTAGAGGATCACATACACCACTGATAGTATTTTACTTTATTGTATAGGTTGTGAAATTAACAATTTTGTGACATCGATTTGTCTTTTGAGTTTTTATTAAATTCCTACTATTAGTTCCCACTCTCCCTATATCTTGTTCAAATTTTCAATCGTTAAAAAAATACTTTTTATTCATCCACTATAAAGTTCAAATTCATTTTTTTTAAAACTTGTAGTGGATGACACTTGATGTTAATACAGTTTTTTCAAATATTAATCCATTAATTAAATTTAATTAATTAATTTTAGTTTTATATGAGAGAAAAAATTGTAAATATTTAATAAGAAGTTAACTAAAATAAAAGTGATTTTCTGCTAGGCCTTGCTTAAAATGTAAAACATAATTAAAGTTCATTATTATTTTTTTTGAAAGCATCACTCATTTTCACTGAGATTTCATTTTTGTTCATAAACAATAGATAATAATGAATAACAATCACATTAAATGTATGCATGCATTTAAATACAAATAAAACTTTCCAATTTGATTTTAATAACATATTTGTTCAGTTTTTATTTTATACAATATTTATAATCATTCCCTGCTGTATTAAATCTAGTTTTGATCATGATATGAATTCTTTTGATACAGTTCAAGTTCTTTACTCCAGTACTTTGACTTGTGAACTCATTTTAATTATAGATATATAATATGAGAATTCATTGTGTTATCCTTAGCATTGGTGAGATCTAATGTCATATTACTAAGCCATCACAGTCAGTAGTATAAAAGTGAGTTTATTTGTCCAGCATTGCTTGCAACCAGCATCATTGCTAAATTCATAAATAATTCATAAAAATCATTGCTAAATTCATAAATAATTCATAAAAATCATTGCAAAATTCATAAATAATTCATAATATCATTGCAAAATTCATAAAATCATTGCAAAATTCGTAAGCAATCTCTGCTAAATAAGAAGATATACTCTGTAATAATTTAAAAAGAAGTTTTACAGTTAAACGAAATGGTTTTTATTTTTCATGAATAATTTGTGTTAGGCTAACTTCTTAAACAACACTGTTGTAAGAAATTAAGAGAAATTGCAGACTCAGTCGATTATCTCTAAAACTTCTGGACCGATTTTAATGAAATTTGATATATACGTACATTGATACAATACGAAACAAATAATCATTCAGCAATTGTAATACACACGTATGTTCGTGCGTAGCACTCGTTGGAGTCAGAAGGTATGAAATTGCCACAGGAAATGATAAACTGCCTTATTTCAAGTATGAAATCATGCTGCAAGGCCTGTATATCTGTAAGAGGGGTCCATACCCCTTATTAACCCATTTTTACCCCCCGATAACGCGAGGCCACATAGAGCTCTTCTGGTCAACGAATTTCTTGAGAATGAGGATATTTACCGGATGAATGGCCAGCCAGATCTCCAGACCTCAACCCTATAGAGCTTGTCTGGGGAGGACAATTGCAACTCGCTATCCCCTCTAAGGAATGAAAACAGCGTTGCTGAACGAGTGGGACCAATTGACTCAAGAAATGATAAACTGCCTTATTTCAAGTATGAAATCATGCTGCAAAGCCTTAATATCTGTAAGAGGGGACCAGACCCCCTATTTCATTTTTTTAAATTTATTCTGCAACCGCTGTTTCATACCTTCCGACTCCAACGAGTGTTATGCACGATCATGCGCGTGTATTACAATTGTTGAATGGTTATTTGTTTTGTATTGCATTAAATTATGTACATATCAAATTTCATGAAAATCGGTCCAAGGTTTCTAGAGATAATCAGCCAAGTCTGCAAATTCTCTTAATTTCTTCCACCAGTGTATTTTATAGTTTAGAAAGTATTTAATGTTTGGCTTACTTGAATTTTTGATTTTTTAAAAATATGAGTTTAGAAGATAGTTTTATTTAGGATTACTTGTTAAACAATTTAGATTTTTGAAGATATTTTGAGTTTGGCTTCCTCGTTTAACTGATTGCTAAATTATTTGAGTTTAGAAGCTATTTTGATTTAGTGTTACTTGTTAAACCATTGTAAGGTTTAGGTGAGATTCTGAGTTAGGCTTTCTTGCTAAATTGTTTGAGTTTAGAAGTTGTATAGATAGAGGATTATTTGTTAAATTATGTGAGTTTAGAAGATAATTTCATTTTGAGTTACTTGTTGAACTGTTTAAGTTTGAACCAAAAATCAAAGTTTGAATGCTTGTCAAATCATCATTTTTTAAATGGCCATTGCATTTAAATGTACTCTTGAAATCTTTTTTTTTTTATAAGTTCAATATTCTTGACTGATGAACTTTCTGATATAGTTATACAATTAAATATTTATTAATTAATAAAGCACATTTTTTTATTTATATTATTTTCTGAATTTATTTTTAAGATCATTTTTATTTGTTTATTTTTTTAATATTATTTAAATTTTAATATAGATCTGATATCCCTTATGTGTTTATAAATGTTGATTTTTGCAAGCTTCCTAACTTAATAAATTACTTAAAACGAAATCTATATATTTATTTCTTTAAACGAAGTGTCTGTTTAAATTTTACTGAAAGAGTATTCAAAACAAATTAATTTAATAACATTAATATAAACCAACTTTTGAGTTTTTACAAATTAAAAAAAAATATATCTTATAATATTTAGGTATTTTAACCTTTTAGTAGTCCGTAACACATTTATTTTTAACCTTTTAGCTGTGTTTTGAGTGAAACTTTAATTCTTTACTTGGCATTAACTAGTTAAAGAAATTTTAGTACCAATTGCTTAAGTACTAGGTCTGACAAAAAAATTAATCATTAAAAAATGACACATTTACAGTATAAATCATATTTCAATAACCAATTTCATTACTGAACCAGTTACAAGCTATGCTAGACCAGATGTTTTGATAAATGGCAACTCTAAATTTAAAAACAAATGTAAGAAATGTTTAGCAACTTTTAATGAAGGATTTTTACTTCATTAAAAATTTATGCTAGTTTGCTTTCACGTGCTGGGATTTTTTAGTTATGACAGGACAAAATCTCTGCACTTGGCTTTCCCTTGCTTGCGGTCTGCTTTATTAGATAAAAGTATTTCTGACTGTAGCATATTCTGCAACATCATTTTAAGAAAAAGCATACAAAGCAACCAAACTTTAAAATTTTTATTGGTTTGTTTATCATGGTGTGTTGAAATATTTTGTTTTATTATTGCTATTGTGTGAAAAGTTGTCTAGGATGTAAAATCGTCTCTAAATTGTAAATTTTGAAAAAATCACAAAAATTTTAAATTTTGTCCTTGAAAATTTTACATTATTTTGTTCTTTTATAACTTTAAATATCAGGTTAATGACACCAAAAGTTTGGAAATAAAAAAAAAATTTCACCCGTCATGTTTAAAACTCCTATATTAAAAAAAATAAATAAATAAAAAGCTGAGACCACCAGAAAATGTTTGTCAGGCTTACTTTACACCTTCTTAACTCAAAAATTCATTCAACGAAACAACTAGAAAATATGAACATTTCTAGTTCAAAGAACATTCTGATAAAAATGTTACTGATGCTGTTATAAGTTTTTTGCTTCTTCTGTGTCGAAATTGAAGATTTTTTTTTCCACTGTCTAATTTTAACTTAGCCCCAACTATTAACAGTGGCATTATGAACTTCAATCAGCCATGTATTTATATGTGAAAAAGTGTTATGCACCTTACTTTGTTCACATTCCGAATTGGTTTGAAAATGATTAATAGTTTATATTCATGACTTTTCTGATTTATCGCTAAACTAATATAAGAAAAATTATTTCTTGTAGCCACACACTCTTATGACTTCAGATTAAAAGTAGGAAAAAAAATTTTTTTTTTTGTTGTTGATCTGTTTTAAAATTTTGATTTAGTCAAAAATTTATTAAATTTCAAAATTTTGGTGTTGTTTTTTTTATGTATGATCTTAAAAGTTTAACAAAAATAAGTATTTTTCTCGTCGCCGGTCCAAAGCCAAATATTAATTAAGGGAAAAAAGTAAATTATCTCAATTTGGGGACTCTATGTCAATTTGCACTAAAACTATCTTAGATTCTTCTTCTGTTTCGATAGACACGTTTGACTGATGTATATGTATGATGTCAGACTCTTCTCTCCTGCTTATGAGTATATTAATTTCATCTGCTTGAAATGTTAACACTGCACGCTACTGTCCGCCACTGCTATGAAATGAATGCGTCCAAAAAACGTCGAGAAATATGTTTGGGGCAAGTTACTGTAGGTTTGGGTTTCGGTACTTGTACAATCTCATTGTGAGTGTGATTCGTAAAAAAATTGTCTCATCCAATTAGTTTTGGGTAAGTTGCTATAGGTTTTTGATTTGGGTTACGGTACACGTATAATTTTATTGTGAGGTTTATTGTACAAGAGCTTAGAATTAAAATATTTCCGCAAGTTTAGTGTTTCGTAAAAAAATTGGCTCATCCAATTAGTTTGGGGTAAGTTACCATAGGTTTGGATTTGGGTTACAGTACCTGTATAATTTTTATTGTGAGGTTTATTGTATGAGACCTTAGAATTCAAATAATATTTCTGCAAGTTTGGTGATTCGTAAAAAAATTGTTTCATCCACTTAGTTAGGGGTAAGATAATATATGTTTGGATTTGGGTTACACAGTACCTGTATAATTTTATTGTATGAGAGCTTAGAATTCAAATATTTCTGTGTGTTTGGGGTTCCGTTAAAAAATTGGTTCATCCAATTAATTATGTGAACAAATCTAGTCTCCCTATTAACAAAACAACATAGTAAAGTGTTTCAAGAGTTGCCATTTTTCAAAACAATTTACTGTACTACTGGAAGCATGATTATAATTATCTGTATGCGTGTCAAAGCGGCATAGAGTTGTTAGCTTACAACACACTTTGTCCAAACATTACACAAACACACCATTTCTTCACTTTTGTTCTCTCACATAAAATCGTGTTGCCAAGTGTTGATATGGTTGAAGCTCGGTGCAGGCTTTGTTGATGTGTTGTTGTTGATCATGCTTCAGCAGCAGCTATGGATGCCGGAGATGGAGTCTTGGGTGGAGATGGCCCGCTTGCACCTGAAGCTGCAGACGATGGCTCCGTGAATTGCATGAGGTTTAGGGCTGCGGGTTGAGTAGAGTAGGCAGGTCTTTGGCTTCCAGCAGGACTCGGGATGCCTGGATTAAGTTATAACATAAAATGATAAGCTCATGTTAAGTGATGAAATATTTCGAACATTGAAATTTCACCAATTATTTTTTTAACCGCCTCCCTTAACAATTTTTTTGGAGAAAAAAAATTTAAAAAATCAAATTGTTTAAAAATTTTATTAATAAATACAAGGAATTAAAATAAATCATAATACGCAAGTTTTAAGTTGAAATTTTAATTTTCTTATGTGTGAAAACATTTACAGTCGGACTTCTATTTAACGAACTTCCATTTTACGAATTTCTCTATTTTACGAATTTTTTCGAGTAACCAAGAACATTTTGAAAATTTCTTCGTAAAATTACTTCTCGAATAGCGAAGTGAATTTTCGATTTAACGAACTTTTCATTGAGATCCACTTTCCTGATTTTCCAAAATATTTCTTAACATTCCAACTTGTTAACGCATTTTATGGGGGAAATGACCTTGAATTAATTTTCGAAGCCACTGCTTTATGAAATGTATTACTGTTTTCTCTAAAAATTATCTTAGAGAAAGCAGTAAATTTCCTTTACCTTTTTGTTTGCATTTCAAACGAAAAACTCAGTTCAAATTAACTGATTTCATCCGCAGCAATTGAACTTAAGTATGCATGTGGTAATGTATGTTTAAAATTACTTTTATAATAAATGCAACTATAATTTGATACATAAATTTAGCCTTTTTTATATATGATAGCGTAACACTGGATAATGTTTTGCTCTATTCCTGCTTTCCATGCAGATTTCTTTCATGGTTAAGATTTATAAAATAAACTAGGAGGCTCCGCCCCCTGCTCGCTAACGCTAGCCAACCCCCGAGGATTGCTACGCAATCCTATGTGGTTCACGCCGTGAACCATGGCTCGCTGCGCTCGCTCGCCAATGAACACAATGTTCTAGCACAAAGACATAATATATTATCATCAAAGACATAGTATTGTACTTATGTAGAAGAATTCTACCAATGTTCTTATTGGCTTTTAAAAAAGTATATTAGCTATTTAGATTGTACATGGTGAAAAAATCAAAACATTAGCTAAATAAGAAACATATTAGCAAAATAAATTATCAAATATTGCTTCACTAATATATGACGCAATGCTAAACGAATGGAATTTAGTTGTTGTTTATTTAGTTATTGTTATTAGTAGTTGTTGTTATTTGTATTAGTTGTTGTTGTTTATTTAGTTGTATTTAATTTCAATAACTTTTCTTTATAATGCAATAAAATCTGGCGAGCAGCTATCTAAACGATCGAACACTTCGTTTGTTTATTTGTTGCTTGAAGTTAGGCTCGCAGAAAATGCCGTTCATGGGTTAAATTTAGTAGGAACAACACAACCTGTGACGTAGGCTATATTATACCCAATTGAGTTTAAATTAAATATTGTCATGTTTTTAGTGCAGGAATCTGAATTGAACAACCTGATAATGCTCACTCTGGTTATTGTTATCCGGTTGCTCACTACGTGCTCTTGCGCGCCGAAACCTAACAATTAAAAATGAAAACTGTTGCCAGCGCGAGAAAAGAAATATCATCGGTTTTATTGATACATACATACATACGTACGTATTAGCGTTTTATATAATATAGATAGTAGATACTAGTTAACAAGATAAAAGTGCATCAATTGCAATCTTAATTAGTGTTATCTAGTGTTTATGAATTTAAAACCTATTCTGTGCTGCTTAAGTATTTTAAAAGGTGATCTTCTATTTAACGAATTTTCCATATAACGAACTTATTTAGTGACTTCGTTAAATAGAGGTTCGACTGTAATTTATCATCAGTTTACTATCCAGAGTTATCTCGGGCAAATGAAAAAAGTTAAATATTAGTCTTTGTATGAGAGTTTTTAAAACGAGGGACAACACAAAGTGATACTTTCCAAACGCCAATGAAGTGATACGAAATTTTATTTTGTTCTTTTTTTCTATGGAAATTCAGCAACTATCGTATAGACAATCACAAAGAACACGTGTGCTGACCCACAATCCAACAGTAAAACTCCTAAACAAAACATGGTAAACTTCCAACTACAACAAATTATTTTCTTGTTTCCAATCGAGTAAAAACGCGATAAAACAAAGCGTACTGGTTGTTCTGTTACGCCCGAGTATTCTCGGGATAACAAATATTCGCAATATACAGATACCCGAAATAACTCGGGATAATCAGGGTTAAGGGGAATAAATCCATTTGGAGCTAAAAACTCGTTTATTTTTCCATTTATTTTGCGATTTAAATAACGTTGTTACATTTTTATGTTTCATCAAGTTAAAAACACAACCCAAATTGATTAAGCTTTGCCATTTTTTAAAGAATTCCTTCAAAATTCCAACCCTTTAAAAACCTCGGTCTTATGAATGGCCGACCTTGTCAAGCTAAGCACAGAGGGCGCTAGGAGTTAAAATTCGTCGTCGTAAGACTTCCGAGTTACTGCTTTCGACTGATTTTTACGCCGAAGCTTGGAAAAATGAACCATCCAATATTGTTATACTTGTAGTGTTTACAATATAACGCGTTCTTTCAATCTATCTTTCAATGAAACAAACAAATAAATTCGGACAAATTCAAACAAATGACTCCGCAAGCTGGCTATGATATTACTCAAAAAATAACAAACGGTGCTATTTTACACAAATAACGGATAACGCTAAAAACAAGGCTAACTTTACACTTTTTTAATGCCGTGAAATTAACTTTGTTAAATTTGTTTTTGGTTCACGACATTTTATAAATTACAGAAGCTCTTATGGATGGTGTTTTCCACACTAGGGAACGCTGCAAACTCCACCGCCTATACTTCTGGGTTACTGTTTAAAGCCATTTGGTTCAAAACGTGATCATTATGTTTTGAGATTCTTGCAAACGTGATATTTGATTACTTATTACTTGTGTTTACAATGCTAAAGGTGCTAACACTAACGTAAGATGGTGCACAGCTTGCAACAAGAACAAACAGCAATGAACAAATGGAAAGAGGTCAAATCAGGACTGCCAAAAAAGCGAGTTATTCAAAATCTAGAAACCATGTCACCTTTTTTTAACAATATGTCTATGAATAACTAAAACAAATTTTCACCTCAAACTCACCAGAATTACTTAATAACATTAATATCTTATGAAATACGGCAGATTTGAGCTCAGATATTATCTAATTTTTACTTCTTTTATTGAAAACAAAATTATCCGTTTGAAAATATCGCCTCGCAGAATAAGCATTTGCAAACTTTTTAACCGGAACTAGAGCAGGTATTGAGCTCAAGATTGTTATTGTTAACATTTATATTGAAAACACCATCCATAAATGTGAATTTAAACACTAATCGCAATAATAAAACTTCCTAGGATACGCCGAGTAATAAATTAGAGCCACTCGTGGCTGTATAAATTTATAGAAAGAAAAAAAAAGGTTGTACCATTGCTAGTGTTTGGATGCCTTGTACAATTGGCTGATCCCGTTTGATCCTTTGGTTGTATCTGAGCTACTGTAGAAGAGGAAGGAGAGGTGTTTCCCATGCCTAATTCTATTTTAGGATTAGAATCACTCCTAGATCCATTCCCTGGTCGTGGCAAGGTATCTTCCCTGCTATCAGAGTGGTTCAACATTAACATAGGTATTGTTTCTTCGCGGTTGCTGGCCCCTGAAACGGAGAAAAATAAATAAACAATTCATATTAAATACACAACCTCGACAAGATAAATTGAATATATATTAAGAAAAGAATTCACAATATTAAAAGCCATTAAAAATAACAGATAATAATTTCATCAGGGGGAAAAAAGATAAAACTGGTAACCAAACTATTTTTTTTAGCAATTTCTTCATGGGAGGGGCAATAATAGTTTGATTTATGTAATTTACCACCACTAAGTTTAAAATGAAAATCAGGAAGTTGCGCTTTTAACAAAAATAGTTTAGATATTTTAGAATTAAAGTGAAGGCAAAAATAAGCCTATCAAATTAGCCATACTCACATCTAAGCTACCGCTTTTTACTTTTCTGATTCTGAACGTATGCATTTATGACTCTCCCATTCCGAAGAGGTTACGGAAGCACTGTGCTTTAAAGTTATGATCCAAATGTAAATATTCAGATTATTAACCCCTTACCGATCGGTTAATTTTCAAGAAAACTGTCATGAAAGTGCCTATTTTTTTGGCTTTTGTATTTAATTGGTGCTAACATGTAGTTTAAAATGAACTAACTATCTACAATTACCTTAAAAATATCTTGGTACTGCCATCTGGTGTGTAAAATGAGAAATAAAATGTTTTTCGGGCAAAAGAAATGAATTAGTTTTATTCTTATTGGCGCGTTACTTCTGAACATTGCAGCCCGACAATATCACGGAGCGAGAAATAGAGGGCGAAACCTCACCCCGTGATTTTCACGGAAAGGAAGGGGTTAATATGTTAGGGAAATGAGAACTATCTTTTCTGCTGCAAAATAAATCCTTATGATGAAACACTTATGTTATCACACTTTTCTTTTTTTGTCAAAAGGAACCGTTCTATTGTCTGCCTCATATGTCATGTGTTAAATGGAGTGTGGTAGCTTAAAGCAGAGTGACCTCTGCAAAATTTTTATTATAGTGGTGACTATTGTTTCACGAGGCTGTTGAAAGCGTTCTAGATTTCAATTTCACTTAAAAATAAGGAATACAATTGGGTACTTGCACTTCAAGATGACGACCTTCCATACCCACACATGTGAACCGCCAGCTAATCTTTATCAACAAAATGGCGTTTTAAATTTGAGCTAAGTTTCTCTACATAAGTTAGAATGTTAATTAACTATAAGTTAATAAAAAACAGATCAGTTTCGCGCCTCGAATTATTTGAAATATAATTCCTTCTCGTCCACTTTTCTTTTAACTTAGATTTATTATTTGATTATGTAATATATTGTAACCATGATATATTTTTGTTTTGTGTACCTGGCAATTTCGATGAATAATTAGTTTGTTTCTGTTCCACGTGGCTTCGCGCCTGTACTTGTGTTAAGTAAGAAATATATATATCAAAAACGGCTATGCCTAGGGCCTACGAAAGGTATAATCCGGCTCTGCATGACAGGCTTGGCTTACTCGAAATAGAAGGGAAAGAACAGTTGCTAACGTAAACAAATTCCACGTTTCATTAACCAATCAGGATCGAGTTACCCACACTACGCCACTTGCAGGTATCCCATTAAATATGTGAATCACAATAGAGTCATAACAATTAAATTCACAGGAGTGACCTTTTTAAATATTTCCGAAGGTCCCCAAACAGGACTTTAAAAATAAATTTGTTTCCATATAAAATTGAATCATTCCCTAAAGCTCACGGTGCAGAAAAAAAGATTTTAAATGTAAAATACACTTGTACAAATATCGAACCATATTTAAATAAATTTATTTTAATATCTATTTGAAGAAAGAATTTGTTTGCCTTTTCGAATTTGTTTTCAAAAGAGATGTATATGTTTATATTTTCTTGAAGTTTCATGTTACAAATTCTTCACAACTTTATTTTATTCTATTTTTTTTTTCAACATTTATTTTATTCAGATATATTATTGCAGAGAAAGAAGAATAACACAATTTTTGAGTGAACAATTCCATATGCTAAGCATTTTTGTAATCTTTTAATTTGAAATAAAACGATTTACTCTATTTTGCGTACATTCGGATTAATATCGATTGTGTTTGAGCTACAAAGATTCTTTTTCAGGAAGAAATGTAGACACATTTTAAATAGCATGTGACGCATTTTTCAATAAGGTATATATTGTGGTCAGGCATTTTTATGTTTGATAAATAATTTGTAGTTTGAATTGCGAAAGGTTTGAAATTATTTGTGTTCAATTTTACAACTTACAAAAATGTGAATAATGAGATTGTCTAAACAAAAGGGAAAAAAAACATTAAAAGAAACATATAACTGTTATTTCAAAGCAAAAAGCAAACGATTTTCAAAGTTTTTTTTTCTTTCCTTTTTTTCTCTCCCTTTGGCAACGACTGAGTATAGAAAAAATGTAACGAAATTAAAATTCTTTAAATTTTGTTGAGTGCGTTATATGTAAAACGCTTCTGCTTCATAAGAGATTTATTGAAATATTAGTATTATTGTTCATTTTAGAGGAAGTTTAATTAGTTGGTTAAAATGGCGAATCACTCGTTACGCTATGAAAACATTTAAAAAATGGTGACTGAATGGTGAATTAAGATTGTTCGTTTAAATGGTGAATTAGGATTGTTCGTTTAAATGGTGAATTTGGATTGTTCATTAAAATGGTGAATTTGGATTGTTCGTTTAAATGGTGAATTTGGATTGTTCGTTTAACTGAAAATGAATGGAAGAAACTATAACGTATCGAAAATCGAATATTTTTAAAAGTGATTATCTCTATCGAGTGTTGTGATTAATTCGCAGTAGTTTTGTTCTTGTGGTTGAGTGTGCCAAGCTTGTGACTTTAAGAATTTGGTGATGGTGATTATTAAATTATTCCGATTTAAAAATACTCGTTTTATTCTGTTTTAAAAATTGTCTTTGATGACAAAAGAAAGAAGTCTTAGATAGCTCGTCAAAGAAGTTGTGCCATGTAAAAAAGGTGAGTCCTTATTTTGATGATAAGATGATTAGAACCGAACATAATGAAAGCATTTAGATGATTTTTGAAGAATCATATCATATATTCATGATAATGTTATCAATTCATCATCATTCATTCCATAGTCATGTATTCATAATATTGCGCAATAATTTTAGCAATCTCTGTTTTATTTATGGTTTTTGTTTTCTAATTTAGATTGTTTGAGTTGGTAAAGTAATTAATTTATTTGCACATTTCTTCAATATTTTAAGTTAACTTTTTTTTTTAAAAAAAGTAATTAATTTTTGAACCGTTAAAATTTTTTATTAGGTTTGTAATATTAAGTTTAAGTTTTTATTTTAATTAAAAATCCTGGTTTTTAATATCTGCTGTAAACTACGTCCTTCCAAAATTATTATAATTGTGAAAATAAAATTTATATTTATTTAAAAAAAATTAAAATTTTATTATAAATATCAGGTGATAAAAATTATTGCTTTATCTGAGAATAACTCATTCAATAAAACCTACAATTAAAATACAGGGGATATTTCCGCATCGTGATCTGTCGCACCAACTGCAATCGCTAGGGTGCCAAATAGATTTTAAAACTTGCAATTTAAAAAAGAAAAGAAAAAAGAATACCTAGACGTTTGCCCGGGGAGGCTACGAGTTATACCTTTCGAGTTGGTCCCTTTTTGTGATTTTTTTAAAATTTTTATTTATTTCTCTTGGGCCGCTGCCCAGAAGTTGCCAAGCCTTGGCGATTATTCTACCACAGATAACAGTACGGAAATCTCCCCAGAATACATATGGGATTTGGTGTGGAATTTAATAACAAAATTAGAAACACTGCTGCTTATATCAGCGTTTGACATTTACCATGTTAAATGGCTTTAGTTACCCGGATAGTTTAAAAGTAACGCTTAGTGATGAAAATTTTATTTGGGAATGAAATTTAAATTCTTGGGGAACCGGGGATAGTTCATTTTTCAAAAACTATCCGCGTTGTTTGATTTTTTTACAAGACAAATTGCATGCTTCTCAGCATGTGCGATATTTTAATATGTTCTAGCAGCAATTTTTTTAACATTCTTCTTCTATTGGCACGGCCGCCCTTTGTGAGCTAGAGCCTTTTCTAGAACCTTCCTCCATTCTACTCTTTTTACACTAAATTTTTAAAAATGACAAAAATTGAGGAGTGTTCCAACTTATCGAACACTATGAACTATGACAATAAGTTACGAAGTAAAAAAATGTACAAGGAATGCGATGGAATAATGATAATAAAATACGATTCAATTATTAGTACAAAAATTATTAACTGTTGAACTTGTAGTAAAAAAAAAATGTTGCCAGATATGAATCTTAACATTTATATCAAAAGTTTTAATAATTAAAAACTGTTTCCAACGCGAACGGTTATATGATTTAAGGTTAGTTCTTAACAAGTAAAATTGCTTCTCGTTTATCACTGCATATAGCGTCGCATATTCTGTATTAAGTTGAATTTATTTTAAATACATTTGATTAATTTATCTTTTAATTTCATTATGATTAACATAATAGTAAAATAAGTTTACATAAAATTGTAAAAAATATGCACTTGCATAACAAAAGGAAGTTTTTTTAAATGAACTTTTATGAAAAAATGAACTTTTAAGAAGATCAAGGAAGGAAAACGTTTTATGTCTATTAAAGCTGATTCTGAAGAAGAAAAAAAAAGAATTTTCACACGGACGGGAACTGCGAGGTGAAGGTAATGATTTTCCATGTAATTAATTTGCCAAAATTTAGTCATCTTCAAAATGTAACAGATGGCAATCCAATAGTAATTTTTGTAAGGAATTGGCATACACCGTTTTTCTCCCTTTATTTTCAATCAGAGAAGCGATTAAAGGGGGGCGAAGTCTTAAATTAATTTAAAAAATTACTATCACCACTTTTCGTAAAAGCATTAAAATTAGTAAGTTGATATTTCAACGTGATTCTTACTTTTTTCTTAAATGAAATATATATATATATATTTATATATGTCACGGCGAAAGACCGAAATCGGTGGTT